ATATTTAGCTTGAAGAAGGAAGTACTTGTGTAGTAATGATAGCCATCCTCAAATATTTGATGGCTTTTTGAATATTTAACTTATTTTACTCAAAGGGTTCTTAAACCCAAAGTGCCAGTGTCAAGAGTTAGTATTTACCTTAGTTGCAGGAAGCCCTTTAACTATTAATATTTATTATAAATTGAAATGGACCATCTGGTAAGGTCACATTCTGCCCATTCCTAGAGTAGTTCCAAGGGGAGGCTGGTCAGTCAACTAGCCCTGGCTACCGTGGGTAGGGGGTCATATGGCAGTAGAAACCAGGTATCCCTTGAGATTCCTTCTAAGCCTGAGATGTTACAACTATGCATAATCAAAGGCACTTATATTATTACCATTTCAGCTGCTAAATACAAACATCCAATACCGAAGAGATGTTGTTATGATGGAGCTCGGGATGTTGAGGAAACCTGTGAACGGCGACTTGCACGGGTTACCATAGGCCCAGCATGCATCAGAGCTTTCAACGAATGTTGTACCATTGCAACGCAGGTCCGTGATTCATACTCTCATAAAACTATGCAACTGGGAAGGCTACGTAAGTATGATGTTTTCTACCAGAAATCTGCCCGATATCGGGAAGTTTGTGTAATTTTATGCTGCGAAGAAAGGCAATTTTCATGCTTTATCTACAATTGAAAGTAGAAAAGATAAATTGTAAATGCCCATAAGAGAAAAATCTCTCATTTTGGGGAATTAGAAGAGCTATATTATAGAGCAGAGTACACTAGTACAGAGCCAAGATCCAGTGTAAACGTAAAGTGAAATCATTCTGTAAACTTGAATGATTATGTATCCTCTGTGAGCCACAAGAAAGGAGCTGCGACCAGCATGATTTTGAGTTCCAAAATTCTGTGGTTCTGTGATATTAAAATCATTAAAAATTCAGTTTATAACTACACTGACCAAATATAGCAAAAGATTTCTAAATCTAGCATAAAGTTAAGCATACGTATATAAAAGTTGAAATCTTATTTCAGTTTCAATCACAAAATGTGTATTCAGAATTTACAGAACTCTGATTAATATGTTTTCAGAACTTTGAGGACTTTCTTTTCACTTGTATATAGTCTTTAACAAAACAAACAAAAGGAGAACAACAGCTCCTGTTTTATACAGACATGCACCACATAATGACATTTTGGTCAATGACAGACTGCATTTACAACAGTGGTACCATAATATTATAATACCATATTTTTACTGTAACTTTTCTATGTTTAGATACACAAATATTTGCCATTGTTTTACAATTGCCTACAGAGTTTGTACAGTAACATGCTGCACAGGTTTGTAGCCTAGGAGCAATAAACTTGTACCATATAGTCTAGGTATACAGCAGGCTGTACCATGTAGGTTTGTGTAAGTATACTGTATGTTATTTGCACAATGAGGAAATTGCCTAATAATGCAGTTCTCAGAATGGATCGCCATTGTTAAGCAACACATGAGTGTATATATAATAGCATGGTTTTGGTAAATGGCCATAAAATTTTACATTTGTAGAAATATGTTCATTGAGATGGACAATGTTTAAGATATACTGTTAAGCAAAACAATCAGAATATTTGATTGGTTGATATTTAGGTTGTTTTCCAATTTTTGCTTATTACAAGCAGCATTTTAAGAAACAATCTAGTACCTTTTTTTTTTTTTCCAAATTATTTTTCCCAATCTGTTTTGGCTTCAGCTACATGGAAGTCACTCTCTGCAGCCACCTTCTCCCTGGTACTCCTCCCCTCATTCTAGGCAGCTTGACCTCCCAAAGCTCCCATTTGTGTTGCCACAAACCTTCAAGACCAGCAGGCTCTGCGTGGGTTCCTCTCCCTGCCCTAGCCTATAAACTGCCTGTAGGTAGTAAACTGGGGCAATTTTAGGGTTCATCTAATCTATTTCCTTTCTCTCAGGGATCACAGTCCTGTGCTGCTTATATTCTAATGTCTGAAAATTATTGTTTTATTTATTGTGTATTTTCTAATTTTTTAAGATAGAAGGGTAAGTCTAGTCCTTATTAGTGCATCTTGGGCAGAAGCAGAGTTATATCCATTTTTATTAAAGTAAATACAAATAAATTACAGAGTTAAGGCAGAAGAATCACATAAACCTTCCTATTTTCTAATATAAGCACAACTATTAGAATTTTGGAAGTTCAAATATCTTTATAGACTGACCAATATCTTGTATAATCTCAGGAACACTAAACATTTAACAATTTAAGAAACAAATCATTAAATATATTTTCATGGTTTGTTTTGTCAATGCTATTAGTGGAGAAATTCTAAGATCTTTATAGTTCTATTTTGAAAGCATTAAACAAAATGTTTCATTGACCTTTCAGAAAATATTTAAGTTATAGATTAATGGCCATATTTTAAAATTTAGCTATAAGAATCTATATTGTTTACACATAATTGAATATGCTCTTTTTGCCCAGATATGAGGACCCTGTTACCAGTAACTAAGCCAGAAATTCGAAGCTATTTTCCAGAAAGCTGGTTATGGGAAGTTCATCGTGTTCCTAAAAGGTGTCATACTTCTTTCATGTTCCTCTGAAAGAAATGTGAATAATACAAGTATTACGGCCAGAACTCTGGGAACTACTCATTTCCCAATGGCTTATTTAAGAGTTAAGATGATCTTACCACTTGGTCAAATTTTGTTTTGTTTTGCTTTGCTTTTTTGTTTTTGTTTTGTTTTGTTTTGTTTTTTTAATGTACTTTGCTCTGGTGATTAGCTCCAGGGCAGGATTAACTATTGGTAATGAAGGGTACTATTCATTAAATTTCATTTCACTTCGGTATGTATTCACTGCACACAACTATGTGCTACATACCATATGAAACAGCTGCTTTCATCCTAAAATGTCTGTACTATAAAGCCAACATTGATAAACAAGAAGGTTCTTTTCTTGTTAAAGTTCTTTATTCAACACATTTTTATGACATGTCTCCTCTGTACTAGGCACTGAAAACAGTGATGAGCAATACTAAGTGCCCAAGCCTCCCTCTTCCTAAGTGGGCTCTAAACACTGGCTTTCCTATGAGAAGTCAAGGAATGAGTCCAAAGCTCTGCCATCATCTTCTCATGTGTCTCCTTATTCCTACCCTTGTCCCCTCTCATTCTTCCTCCACACTATTGTCCATTTCATCCAATATTGCCCATTAGCTAGCACTTCCGCTGGTAAACCTTCCCACCACTGTCTCCCATCCTACCAGTGACTGGATTAATTACGCCTCCCAATTAACTCTGCTGCATATATCACATGGTATTATAATGGCTAGCTTACTTGCTTGTCTTCCACATTAAAATGTAAATACCTGGAAGGCAAGGACTAAATGCAGATTCCTATTTTACATACAGGACTTGGCCTGGGATCTGGCTTATAGAGGCATGAAAATAAATGTATTGAATGAATGCACACTGTCTCTGAACTCTTTTAAAGCCTTATTGGTACAGTTATTACAGTGAAATGCAATTTATTTACTTTACTATTTCTTCTGCTAGACTGTGAACTGCCTGAGAGAGAGACTATGTCTTATAAGTTCTGTATGCTCAGGACGTGGCACTATGCCTTCCACGAAGTTGGTGGACAGTAGATGTAAATAAGTATGCAAGCTTAATAGTAATCAGAAACTTCTAATTTTATCACCTTTGTTATGAGCAGTGATAAGATATACTCCTTTGCTTTCCTATTTTTGAACATACTCACAATTAACATAATTTTTTTCTTTGTTTTATATGCTTTGATTTTGCAATGTTTCAAAGGCATCCTTCTGAACTTGAATTCTCATCAAACAGGTGCAATGCCTAAAAACATGGAATATGTAGGAGAGTTACTGAACATATTTTTCTAGATAAGTTTTCTTTAATATTAATATCTGATATGATTTTGTCCTGTGATTTTTTTTCTTTCTTCTAAAGTAGTATGAAGCAAAATTTCTGTCAATGAGTGCCTCTGTCAAGTTGGGTTAATCAATGTTCCACTGTATTTGAATGTCAACATTTTAACTTCCAGAAACCAGTTGCAGTTTGTGCTACCTGATTCCCTAACTACCTGGGAAATTCAAGGTGTTGGCATTTCAGATAGTGGTAAGCAAGCTTAAGTTATATATTCATTTAAGGAATGATTTAATTGGCAAGATGTAGCTTTTTATTATTGTCTATTTAGTTTACCCAGGACTTAAGTGGTATCATTTTTAAAATATTCTTTTTTATGTATTACTGAAAGACTTGGATATTCCTATATCTTTGAATGTATTGATTTCTTCCTTTGCTCTTGTGTTGGCTGTCATTTTATAAATGCTGGTGTCAAGTCCTTACTTTCCTTCACTTTTCTCACTGACTGGGAGTTTGTGTAGCCTTAGAAACAAATATGTGACCTCTCTCTTGGGCTGATGCCCCTTTGTGGTGACAAAGTGCGAAAGCTTCATAAATAACTTCAGAGTTGGTTTTGTCTGCTATTTTTGTTTTCACAAAATCTGGATTTCCACAATCAAAAATGTATAACCATTAAATGGAGCCAATAATGAATATCTAAAAATATTTAGTACTCTAGTTGATAAGCATTCTCATGCCTTAAATAGAATTAAATATTTGTTAAACAAATGAAGTTTTGTTTACTACCAATAATTATTGAAATAAAGATCAATGAATAGAAAATTCAAGGACATGGGGCAATAGTGCAGAGAAAAACATGATCCAATATTTTTTTCCTTGAAGTAAAGCAAATATGAGACTTCCTGGTACTAATAAAGCATTAAAGGAATTCTCTAATATGCTTCTACTTCACTTTCACTTTGGGCTGAAGGTATATGTGTTGCTGATACTCTCAAGGCAAAGGTATTTAAAGATGTCTTCCTGGAAATGAATATACCATATTCTGTTGTACGAGGGGAGCAGATCCAATTGAAAGGAACTGTTTACAACTATAGGACTTCTGGGATGCATGTAAGTAGATATTTATGGTAAGTTAGAATAAATGGAAAAAAGGAAACATTCTCTGGTTTTCTGAGAATTCTACTGGTGGAATTATCACACACACACACAAAATAAAAATTCAACTTCGTTCAGCAGTATAAGCCAAGCATTTAAAATGAGTATTATACTTAGACATGCAGCTTAATAAGTGAAGGGATGAGGAAAGCAGGAAGGGTTAAGACAAGTACATATTACTGTAATTTCAATTTCAAGAATAAAGTACCTAAGGTAATCAATATACAGTGTACTGTGGAAATTCAGAGAAGGATGAGTTTACATTTAGGTTTTTTATTAGCCTGGACTCTGAGTCCCTTGATGTCCTTGACTGTAACAAACCTTTCCTTTCCCCCATTTTAGCCATTCATACTCATGTTCATTTTGTAGATCCTGTCATCCTCTTCAAAATCTTGATTTCAAACATCTCACCCTCCAATCACAACCTGCTTCCTATCCCTCTAACTCATTAACCAGCTTACTCCCATAACTACAGCTCTGCAACATCGTTGAAAACTCTAATCCATTGACTCAACCCCTTTTTCTTCATTCATTAGCCCTCTTGTTCAGGTTAGAATTCGTGAACCATCATTATAACTTCACTGACTAAAATCATGCCAATTCCCTTGATCCTCCCTCACTCCAGGATACAAGCCATGAAAAACTCCAACCATGGCCGGATCCATCGTTTGTATTCTCTTTGCCAGCACACCTTCACAGAGAATTGTACAATAGACAGATTTCACTTGAAAATCACAATCACAAAACCTTATGTGGTAATTCAGTGTGGTCCAGAAATCTAATTATATTTTTTTAAGGCTCTAATTTTAGTCTTTGAGATGAGTAGTATTTCAGTAGTCTTCAAAATTTTTGTTTATATAACCTCTAAATTTTTTTTTGAAAAACTATATACTCCTTGGATACATTTTAAAGTTGGCATCAAAAATTTTTATGATAAGTTTTTAAAAAGATGATAATCTATAACTTT